AAATATAGGAATTTTGTAAAAAATATTTAGATCCATTTCTAATATTATGTCTTCATCATATTAAACAAAAATAAGTGTAATAAATAAGAATTATTTTTATTAAAAATGTAAATATAGTAAAAAATTAAATTAACTCGAAAATTATTTTCCATCTAAGTAGTGGGTTAATGGTTCAATCATTTGGGTAAAATGGACCAACCAATGATGTTATAATTAAGTAATGAAAAAATAAAAAATATATAGGAATAAACACATTATTACAAAAATATAGAAAGTTGTCTTCTGTAAAATGGTGTAAAATAGATAGTTGAAACAATGTTATAAGGCTTGGATTGGCCCAAATGATTGAACAGATTATCCATTGACTTTTTTTGGGTTCTAGTTAAATGATGGTTTTCATATGTGTATGTACAAATTTTTAATGAATGTATGATATTAGAGAAGTGCCCAAATGTTTTTCTACAAAGTTGTTTGTATTTTTCATACTTTTGTGTGTTTTATACTTATAGAGAAGTGCCTAAAAATATCTATAAAAAGTTATAGATATAACATCAAGAGTTGACACATTTTTTTCCAAAAGGTTGAATTGTTGATTTGCCATCAAATAGGAAAACAACTTCATTTTTAGGTTGTTTTTGAATTTGTTTTTTTTTTTCTATCATCAATAAAAGCAATCATTATTTATCACACTTATTTTTCTTTAGGCTCAATTTGGAAGGAGTACAAATACAAATATGTACAGTGTAAATGCTTTTATTTTGTATGCATTTACACTATACTTGTTTGTATTTGTACTCCTTCCAAACTGAGCATTAGGGTAAATTGTTGAAACCTCCACTAAACTTTGAGACATCATTGCAAATAGGCCCTTCTGTTAGAATCCTCTAAAAGGAGGCATGACAACGTCCAAAATATCCATGTAGTTACTATTGAGACTGGTTTCTATAGAAAAAAACAATACAAAATTTATGAAAACAAAAAAAAAAAGTATTTAAAATTGCAGTTTTACCTTGAGTGATTCTAACATAGGGGCATTTTGGTCAAAGTAACTACATAGGTATTTTGGACATTATCATGCCTCTTTTTAGAGGATTCTAATGAATGGATCTATTTGCAACTATATCTCAAAGTTCAGGGGAGGTGGTTGCAATTACCAAACTTTAGAGGAGGTTTCGATAACAACAAGAAGCTTGAGGGATGTTTCGACAATTAGCCTTTTTCTTTAATATGGTTAATTAATATAGGATTCAATGAAATAATGGGGGCTAATGCCCTAAATATAAGGGTTAATGAGAGGAAATTGTATGAGGAAAAATGTATAGTTCAAATTACATTTTGTGCCCTCATAATTAAAGAGGGGTTGAATTAAAAAATAGGGGTATTCTAGTCAAAATACAATTAAATAAATGTTAATGGGAGTTAAAACCTTAAATATAAGACTTAATGAGTGAGATTTGAATGAAGAGAAATGTAGTTGTTCAAATTACATATTGTAATTAGAGAATGCCCAAATTAATAAAATTGGGGTATTTTAATAAAAAAAAAAATTTACACACTCTCATTATCTCATATCTAACTGAAGTGGGTTAAGTTGTGAAAATTTGCCAGGTCAAGTTGTCCTTGAGACAAGCCTGTCATAGTGTAGGTCTTGACCCATCTGAGATACAAGACTGGATCAGCTTTACATGTCCTACCTACCAGCCCAGCATGGTTGTTTATCAAGAATCCAGGTTGAGCTGCTTGCAGCTACCACTATTTATCTCATATCTGACTCATTTTGTCTTTCTTATTGGGCATTAAGACGTTTGTTTTTAGATTAAACCAAACACCACTCGTTTTCTTCCTACGAAATCATTTGTTAACCTTTCTGTTGAGTCCGGATCTCCTGCCCACACAAACTCTGCTCATGTCTACCCACATAACATCGCAACCACACATGGAGAACATCTCATCCTCCTACATAGCATTATGCAAGGGGAGATGTTCTCAATTCACGAGGATAGTGTGTTGTGGGTTGATGTGGGCAGAATTCTCGTGGGTAGGAGATCTGGAGTCTTTTATGTTCTACTTGTAGTTGTAAACAATAGCAATTTTCAAAGCATCAATTGAAATAAACCACATGACTTGCAGAAGCTCCAAATTTGTAAGCAAACCGTTAAATTTTTACTCTTCATCAACTGAGATATGATTGAATGTATTAATATATTAATGCCCAAACCATGTTAGAAATCACACCAATCCATAATAAAATATTAAAATGGTTTGATTTAATTAGGTCTCCATGTTAAAATGATTTGGTTTGATCTAGGAAATTTTTCAGATTATAATTTACTGGTTTGGTCTCAGATTTTTTCTTAACTACACCAAACTGGATATATAGTGAACACCCCTAAGCATTACTAAGTGCCACATGGGTGATGGGATATCCGAAAATGCCCCTCCATTGAGGGAAACAAATTTTTTCTTTTCCTTTTTTAAAATTCTCCTAGCGGTTCATTTGACAGGAGGTCAGTTAGACCTAAAAATCTGTGACAGAAGGTTTTGTGTTACTGTGACTGCAATTTGATTTTAAATCTTACAGTGAGGGTTGTGTGTTTGTGAGTATGTGGATTGTGGGAGAAGGGTTGTAGGTCTGAAACTTCTGCTAGCAGCCTTTGTTATGGCCTCCGAAGACTCTGCAACCTCTGGAACTTCTTCCAACCAAAGAGGAATGAACAACAGTCTTGACTCTATGAGCTTTCTAATGACTATTATTCCCTAAGTTGGCAAAAATTATTTGACATGGTCTAAGGAGATGTGGCTGTACATCACAACCCGAGGCAAGGCAGGGTATATCAATGAAAATGTGAAGGAACCTAGGATTAGTACGGCTGAATATGACAAGTGGGACCAGGAAAACTGCATGATTATGTCATGACTTTTGACTACTATGCTACCATCGGTTAAGCAGAATTTTGTATGGGCTGAGACAGCCAAGGAAATATGGGAACAAGCAAGGTCAACTTACTCCAAGCAGAGACACTATGCTAGAATCTATCAATTGCAAGCCGAGTCTGCCACATGTAAACAAGGGGAAAGTAGCTTATCCACCTGCTATCTGAAAATGCCCCTCACATCTATTACCAACACAGCTGTATATTAAATGTTATCTAACCAATCACAAATAAACACACTAATGTTATATAGTTTTGTGGTGGAGCAGATCCGGTTCCAACTTTCTAACCAGAAAAGATCTGTTGTGATCACTATGATCACAAGGAATTCGACTTCTATCAAGGCAAGTCGGTGCTCACACCCTTCGAGCAGTCCCTTGCAACATTGCATTGAGAATATCTCTCATTAAATAAATTACATAACTACGGAGAAATTTCCAATGCAAGGCTGTAAAGGCTGTTGGAACGGGCTTTGCCTTGACTGAAGCCGGACTCAATCACATGCGACCTCCCTTTCAGAGGAGAGAAGATGCAGAAAGAAATCTGAATTCATACAAAATAAGTTTTTTATGTCACAATAAAATGCACACTTTCCCCCTTGCATTGCTACAATAATACTGTACACAATTTCAATTCAGGGAAAAGCAAATTCGGATTTTCTCTTCACACAGCACGCCTCACAGGCTCACACTAACCTCACAGATAAACCTGATCATAGGCCGGATTTGGGTTTGATTTTTGTCAAAATTCTAATGAGTTTGATCCAAAATCTGAACCCGAACCTGATCAGGCCCATGAATATATCTACTCATACAAGACTATGGGAAAACTTAGTAATTGCTAACAATAATGAATCAAGAGCTTCTTTCTCTTGTTATTTAATTATTTAAAAAGCAGATAAAAGGACCTTGCATTGGATATTCAAAGTAATGCTTGGCTTTGCAGTGCTCAGCTTTGGCATAAAATAGGCCCCACGTGTAAAAGCTTGCTACGCCAAAAGAAGAGAGACACATGGTTATAATCATTCTCTCTGTTGACATTTTCTATCTTTAACGACATTGGATGCCTCCTGCTTTGTGCACTTCATTCCCTACCTAATATCTACTACTCCATGATCCCCCAAAAGTATCCTTCGGATCTCTCAAAGTGCTAATTTACAACAATCTACTAATTCATCACTTCTTATGTATATTATACCCTTCAGTTTAGCCTTAGAAGTTATTAAGGAGTTCGGCTTCGGTCAGTACAATGACCATTCGAACAGCTTTTACAAGAAGAATATCTCCGTTAGAACAGCCTCTCTCAATCTTGCATTGGGATTATTTCCCTATAAAAGAAATCACATAAGTACTGAGAACAGTCATTGCACTGACCGAAGTTGAACTCTTTAAAGAGAGAATAATTAAGAGCCGCAAACGGTATAGGATTTTTCTTGGATTTGAATTCAAATTTGATTTCATTAAAGGCTATCTACATTCAGTCCATTTATAATTGGATCAAATATGAATCTTTCCTAATTCATCCAATATAATTCCATTCATTTCCATCTAAATGTGTTATATTAACAACTTATATTTATCCATTAGTAAGGTTGTTTTTTTGGTAAAGTAGTAAAGTTGGTTCGAAAATATTGTGTTTTTATCAAGGAGTGTTTGACAAGATGGTTGGTTTTATTTAAAAAAAAATAAAATAAAAATAACTACGATATCCACAAAATTAATACCCTAAAATGTCATAGGTTCAAGTTTCAAACAAGTGATTTTCAATTCATTTTGTTCATTTTATAATAATATAATAGTTTGATTATTTTTATTTAAGGTCGAAAGTTGGGTTGCCTGCGCCTTGAAGAATCTCAACTACATTGGGCTTGGGCTTGGGTTTGGGATAGAGAGGGCCCATTCAAATTGAACCGATTCCTAACCCAACTCCACCCAAATTGCACCCCTACTTATAGTTTAATTTACCATTCATTAGATCTGATTGGAATTTGGGTATTAATTAATCAAATTTGGATCTGCACATGTCCAATTTGATCCGATCCCTTGGGCCTTGGCATCCCCAGGATGATTAGAATAATAACCCAAAACTAACTTGCATGATTAATTAGTTTATGAAACAGAATTTCCATCAACAAAGAAGGAAAAAAGATCCTAAATTTGAATTCCTTCTGATCATGTACGGCTATACCAACCCCCATAATGAAAAAGAAAGCATAAAATTAATATTAACACTCTAATCCTGACTTTTGAGGCACAGAGTTAGCACCACCACCGCCGCTGTCACCTTGGCTGCCGGGGATCTTCCTATCGGGCTTGGCCTCTTGCAGCATTGACACAACGTCCCTCATAGACGGTCGGTCAGCCGGGTTGCGGCTTGTGCAGAGCAATGCTATTCTTAGAACCAGCATCATCTCTTCGCTCACGGAAGCGCATGATGCACCGGCATTCTTGTCAAGGATTTCCGTCACTCCATCCTTGCTCTTGATCTTCGACCGCACCCAATCCACAATGCTGTTGCCGTCCCCGAATTCGGCGTCCACCGATCTCCTCCCACTCAGTATCTCCATCAACACCACCCCGAAGCTGTATATATCGCTTTTCTCGTCCACTTGTAATGTATAAGCATACTCTGCAAAATCAATTAAACTCTACTCATCAATTATCCTCCTGCCTCAATCTCAATTAGTTAAATTTTGATTTCCACATCCCACTCATCTGAGTTCATGTGATGTGCACATCAAAAGGCTCTGATTATTTTTGTTTTTAAGTCTTCGGAAATATGAACTAATAAAAACAAAAAGTGGGTAAAAAAGTAGGGTATTTCACGCGCAATAGTGCGCAATGAACTCAACTACAAAGGGCGCGGTGACAAAAGAAGGGAATCTTCTCATCTCCCATGCCAGATGCCACCATTCAAAAATTGAATACTTGAGTTGAGGATGCGCCGATGTGCACCACACCCTGACGCTCACTGTAGAGTTAACACCATTACCTCCTCAGTCCTCATGCCAAAAAGAAAGACAACGTCACTAACGTGAGCCGTGGAGGCAGCAGAGATAGATATGGATATATAACTCCAAGAGTAAACCCTCATCTCATCTAGTCATCTGATCTTAGAGACTTGGCGAATAAACGAACAAATTGAAGAATGAGAGACCAACTCAACAAAACGTACTACGTACGTACCTGGCGCAATGTAGCCGTACGACCCGGCAATGACCGACATGGACTCGTCCGTTTGGATCAACTTGGCCACGCCAAAATCTGCCACCCTCGCTTCCATCTCGGCGTCCAACAAAATGTTGCTGGGCTTCACGTCCCGGTGCACGATAACAGGGTCACAGTCGTGATGGAGGTAACAGATCCCCTGCGCCACGCCCAGTGCTATCTTGTACCGGGTGACCCAATCCGCTATCAGATTCTCTCCCTTGTTCCTCCCATGCAGTAGGTCGTCCAAGCTCCCATTCGGCATGTATTCGTACAACAGCAATGTTGTCTCGTTGTTGCTGCAACACCCAAGTAGTCTCACGATATTACGGTGTCTCACGTTCCCCAGCACATCCACCTCCGCTAGCACACCTCGCCTCCTCCGCACCGTATCTTTATGCGTACCCCACAGCTTTTTAACCGCTATGATCTCGCCACCTGGCATTTCTGCCTTGTATACAGTCCCTGTGGACCCCATCCCGATTATCTTATCGCTCATTGATAAACATTCTAGCACATCATCCGCCGTGAAACTCAATCTTTGGAACGCGGTTAGCTTCCATGGGCCAGCCTTTTGATCATCTACGAATCGACGGTCGTAATTCGCGTGGAAGCATCGGCTACCAGCTATCAGAACGAAGAGCCCGATGGCGAAAGCAGCCGCCATGATCCACACGATCGCTCCGGCGGTCTTCTTGGGTTGCTCATGGAATCTGGCGTCATCAGTCGTCATCCTGTCGGAAGCGCAGGGTTTCTCGACCACTCCACCGCAGAGGCCCTCGTTGCCGAAGAATGACGATGGATGGAGGTTCGGGAAGATCGTGCCGGAAGACGGGATAGGACCAGTAAGGAGATTGAACGACACATTGAAGCTCTCTAACGTACTGCAGTTATCGAAGTTCGAGGGGATCGTACCGGTGAGGAAGTTGCGAGAGAGATCAACGTCGGTGATGGACGGTAGCGTCGACAGTTCCCACGGGATTATCCCAGTGAGCAAATTTTGCCGGAGATTCAAAGACAGAAGCTTCTCACAATGGTCGATATCCCACGGAATGCTTCCATTGAGCGAATTTCCCTCCATTTCCAGCTTATACAGGCTTCGGCATCCGATAAAATCGGGAATTTTCCCTGTGAGTTTGCTGAAACTCGCCGAGAATATCTGTAGATTCGGCGCACTCCATATGTTATCCGGTAATGGACTGTTGAATGAGTTCTCGGAAATGTTCAAGTATTCCAAATTCACGGACTTGCCGAGATCTCTTGGGATTTCGCCGGTGAAGTTGTTCTTGCTCAGGTCCATGTAAGTCAGGTTAGGCAAGAGACCGAAACCGAGAGGGATGGCGCCGGACAGTCTGTTATCTTCGATCCGGAACCTCCACAGAGAAGTGCAATTTGAAAGTGATGGAGGGAGCTCAGAGTCAAACCTGTTGGAAAAAAGAATGAGTCGAGCAAGTCGATTTCCAAGGCAGAGACTCGGTGGAATCGGACCAGTTAACGAGTTGGAAGAAACATCGAGCTTCTGCAACTTCGCATTTGAGCCAAGGTTTTGTGGCAGATTTCCTGTCAGCGAATTGTTCCAAAGCAGTAGGGACTCGAGGTTGGGAAGCTCGCCAATTCCAGCTGGGATCTCGCCAGTTAGATCGTTGTTCATTAAGCTCAACAAACTCATCTCCTTTAACGAAGACAAACCCTCCGCAATCTGACCAGAAAGCCGGTTATCTGACAAATCAAGTACCTTCAATGCCCGCAACTCCGAGTAGGTCGCCGGAATTGGACCATCAAATCGGTTTCTGAAGAGAAAAAGCGACTCGAGCATGGTTAAATTGCCAAGCTCCGGCGGCAGAAGACCAGATAAATTTGCAAAGGCAACGTCTAGATATCTGAGTTCCGATAACAGCCCGAACTCCACCGGAATCCCGCCGGAGAACTCATTGTACCCAATCTCCAAATGCTCCAGCCTAGTCATAAAGCCTAACTCAGGTGGAATTGGTCCATGCAAAAGATTCCCAGCTAAATGTAAAAACTTTAATCTCGGCAAACCTCCAATACCCGTCGGTATACCACCTTTGAAGAAGCTCCCCCCGAGGTTGAGCTCTTCGAGAAACCGAAGCCGAGTGATCCCATGTGGCAACGGACCAGTAAAGCTATTGCTGTAACCGTTAAAAACTGTCAAAAACTTGAGCTTGGTGATCCCGGGCGGGAAACTACCATTAAAATTGTTGTGACTGATGTCCAGTGTCCTGAGCATCGATAATTCAAAAATGGCGGTAGGAAAGGTTCCTTCAAATGCATTGCCGCTGAGGTTCAGAATGTTCAGTTGAGATAAAAAACGGATTTCTGCAGGAATGAATCCAGAGAGGTTCTTGTGAGAGAGATCGAGTGAGGTAATTTGGGAGGTATTTCGATCACATACAACCCCTGTCCAGGAACACCAGAGAGGCGTAGAAGAAGAAGAGCTAGTAACGGTGGTGGGGTTCCAGTCGCGGAGAGAGGAGAGAGGGTCCTTGAGAGAGGATTTAAGGGAGAGCAAAGAAAGGAATTGAAGAGGGAGAGTTGCAGAGAAACCCACACTGGTTCTGAAGATGAATAAAGACAAGAAGAAGAAGAGCGGGTGAGAAGTGATTTTCATGGTTTTCCGGGAGAGGGAGTGAGAAGTGAGAGGAGGAGGGGGTTTAAAGGGGTGAATTTAAGGGAGGAGAGGTTTCGATGAAGAGAAGGGCCTTTTGGGAGTGCAGGGTGCAGAGGGTGTTTCATGATGATTCCTCCAGTGGTGTGGTGTATGGGAGGGAAAAGGAAAAAAAAAAAAAAAAGCAGAGAGAGAGAGAGAGAATTGTTTCACTAATAATACTGACTGTACTGCGACAAACTATTTGTATTCATGTACTAGTCTCTCTTTTCCTCTTTGGTGACTATCTTTGTCTCTCTTTATTTCTCCAAATTTTATACTTTTTGGTTTTTGGGTAGTTGATTAGCTCTACTTTTTCATCATTTCTTGTTCCCTTTGTATCATCAAATAATAGCATTGTATAATTGATGACCTGGTTTAAAGAATTTCAGCTACGTACCCCTAATTTATCTTATTCTTGTTCTTCTTGTTTTTTTTTTTTAATTTGTATATTAAGATGAAAGTGCTGCATTATATATTGATAATAAATGCAAAAAATATAATTGGATTATACACCCACCATATTTCTGTTCAGAAAAATTGAGGCTTTGTTTGTTTGCAATACAAATACAAATATATGTATTCTACATAAATACCCGTTTTTCGGTTAAAGGATGTAAAGTGAGTTTTCAGTTCTAGCCCATTCTTTTGTTCTTTTGTCTCAGTTTGGAAGGAGTGCAAATACAAATATGAAGAGTATAAAATCTTGTATTTTTGTATTATTTTGTATGTATTTGCACTCCTTCCAAACTGAGCCTTTCTAATTTGTTTTAAATCGATGCAAAACGTTATACGGTGGTCTCTCCCATTCGATCAACTTAAGATTTGAAGAATACAAATTTGCACCAAAGAAATGATAATGCACTCTCCTCACACTAGGAAAGGTCGGAAAAAATATCTTTCCTCTCTTAATCATTGCATTTTTTATTTCAAACAAATACTCACAAATCTGAACCAGGATGCATAAATACCCCAATTCTACATTTACAGCCTTAGGCTTCATTTGGAATTGATGTAAAATTTCATCGGTGTAAAAGTACATCGATGAGGTTTTACACCAAATTGTAAAAAAGCGACCATTAATTTTGAAAAACGTGGATTCAAAAAGTGTAGAATTTTACATCAATTTTATTAATATAGTATTTATATCGACAATCGATGTAAAACTTTAGATGTAATGAGGTTTTATATTGATTTACAACGTAAAACTCCACTCCACCCAAATCTTAACAGATCTAAACCAGAGTAAAATTTTATGCCAATCTTGATTTACACTCCTTCCAAACATCATAAAACCAAATCGACTAAAATATTTACATCTATCTTGATTTACATCTTTTCAAAACGTAGGTCTCCTTTTATGACATTGGGTGATGATAGTATTATACCCATTCACTCCATAGAATCTCTTTTTTTGGATTGTTTTTGTAAAAAAATAAAGAAAATAATATCATATTCAGCAGACATGTGAAGATAATATGAAAGGACGGTCCTGATGTCTTGTTGGTCATGAACCTGACGCCAGTAAAAACAAACACTAAAGAGGGGTAAATAGCCTTTCTGTTGTATTGTACTTTAAACTACATGGTAGGAAGAGAACAGAGGTTTTACCCATTTCCCAAACACTAAAATAACTAAGATTTTTTTTTTTTTTGATAAACTAATAAAATAACTAAGATTGGAGCTAAGTCTTTTGACTGCATGAAATTAAAGGCCCCCCACCTGGCAAACATGCATCATAAATAGATTTGGAAATTGGAATGCTTATATTTTAGAGGAATTAATAGTTAGGCTTAATATATAATAATATATAATTTTAAATAAAAGTTTGGGCTTAAATTATAACGTAATAACTTTACCAACATTGATCTTTGCTGCTTGCTTGTCAGTTTGACTTACAGTTAGCTTTTGCATGATGGACATTTGCTTTGTATCATTCTAGTTGTTAAAGAATACTTAAGATAAGATTGAGGAACAGTACCTTCCCATTTCCTAGGTGAGAGCTGTTAAACAGCTATCTACGCCTAATCAGGAATCAGCCCTCTCCCTCTCTCTTAAGCCTTCTTGTACGTACGGCACAAATTTTGGCTGTTTGGAGAATACAGCCCGGGCTGTTTGGGAGCTTTAAGCTCATGACACGTTATCAGGAGTTTAGGCCTTAGGGGTAAAGGAATATACGCAACCGACATCCTTTTAGTTAAAAAAGACAAGCAGAAACTGAATGTGTAACGTGTCATCTAGAGGAAGTTCTCAAGCATTTCTGTTTTTTTCCTTAGATTTTGCCACGTGGGCAGGTGATATATGCAATCTATGTCGTCCATCAAGGTCATATGAATTAACCACGTATGCAGAACTCTATTAGGTATTTGGCATCAATGCCGTTGCTTCATAGATGTTTTATGAGAAAACAGTGTTGTATGCACGAGGGTTTGTCATTGTACCATTTTCTCATAAAATACTAGAAAATTAATCAATTTAGAATAAATTGAAATTAATTATTATTTTTTTTATTATAAAAAATTTATTAAAAGTGTTATATAAAATATAAATAATTATTAATTATTTAAAATGTTGAAAATATAAAACAATTGTATACTCTTATATGTTTCCAAGTGAAACCTTGTGCAAGGAATTTACTAGGACATTTACTAGAACACACCTTATAGGTTTACATATTTACTTAAAACTACCTTATAGTTTTCATTTTAATAAAACATCCCATATATTTTACAACTTATTTACTTCATCAACCTTTCATTAAGGAGTGTTTGTTTTTCCATTAGGCCCATGATTTTTTATTCCAAAAATACCCTTAAGAACTTTTTATACAAAAAACAAAATTGACCAAATATAGTCAATAAAGGGGTTGCTCGTGTCTTATTAAGGGCAAAAATGGTATTATCATTTTTATTTTCTTTTGATTAAATTTATTTAAATGAACATTAGGGTCAACATTGTCGTTTTTCACTATCATCTAATGGAAGATTGAGTAAATCCATTGCAAATTATAAGTGGTGTTTTAGTAAAATACTAACTATAGGGTAAATTTTAGTAATTCCATGAAACTATAAGGGGTATTTTAGTAAACGACTTTTTCTATTGTTTAGCTTTCGCTTAATAAATCTCATGTATCGCACAGGTCCCCGCTAGTTTTCTCATAAAATGGCTCATTTTTTATTGTTTGACATCGATGCTGCCACATAGGCTCTTTTTTTTTTTTTTTNGGGGGGGGGGGAACAACACTGATTTTGTTTGGTACCAGTGTTGAATAACTATTTTCAGCATTGGTCTACATTATTCAATGCCCAAGATGATGTCACATTGATGCCACATCATTTCACCGCTGGCAACAATGAGCTTTTATCGAGAAAACATTGAATTTGGCATTTCTTCGAACCACACTTTCCCGATTTCCAAGGTGTGGTCTATAGCAACGTTTTTTTTCTGGAAAAACGATGCCAAATAAGAAGTCATTTTTCTGAAGCACCACTTTTTCTGATGTGGCACCGTTTTCTTAGAAAACGACATCGATGACAAACACCACCCTTGTATACATTAGTTCTATATGCCACCTTTTACCATAATATTTATAGTTTTTTTATTAAAAACACTTCTTATTTACATGGATTTACTAAAACCTTACTCTATAGTTTGCATTTATTAAAAATACATCTATAGCATGGTTTTCAAAACCAGACCGGACCAAACGGTTGGACCAGAAAAACCGGGAACCGGTCACCTAACCGGTTCCGTTTTTTCCCAAAACTGTTGATTTTGGTCAACAAACCGCTGAACTGACTGGTTAACCGTTCAAATAATTTTGACCGTTTTTCAATTTTTTTTAATTTTTTTGTCAGAATGAGCCAGTTGTTCGGGTCGAACAGTCGGACCATTCGAACCTATAACCAGACCCTGACCGATTCGGTTTTAAAAACCTTTTTTTTTGTATTAAGAGTCATTACTCTTTTAAGTGAATAGTATAACATCACATCAACAACTCTTTTCTTTGATAATAGCAGGATTGGAAATCGCACTACGACTAAGACAATTCATCCATTACACCAAGTGGACTACCCATCAGTTAGTGCATCTATAAAATCTATAGTTTACAACTGATTTAGTTAATTCCACCATTACTCTTTGAAATGGTAAGCTATGGGCCCATGGTTTTTATTCTGAAATTATTCCTAGCATTTCACATTCTTACGGTCAAAACAATCATTTTCTACTTCCAAGAGGTAGATTGGGGGGGGGGGGGGTTCAACTAGATGGTTATGACCCCCCTAATTAGGCAGATCACAAACTTTAAGGGGTGTTTTTATAAAAGATCTATTTATAAAAGACTTATTTATAATAATCAAGGTTCAAAGTATCAATATGTATTGGTTCGTATCGTTTCGGGAGCTCTCCGATATGTCTTTATAAAGGATGTATCGGGGTTCTGATCGATTCAAGGGGTGGAGGAGCCTTAAATTACCCCTAAACCAATTTAAAAAAAATAAAAAAATTATAAAAATTATACCGATATGGTATGATACGCCCCTATCAGCATATCGATATTTAACTTTGATAATAATATTTAAAATTTATTTTAATATTTTATTCTATTATGTAGTAAAGTAGTAATAAAATTATAATAATTATTGCTATTATGTAGTAAAGTAGTAATAAAATTATAAAATAGTAGTGGTGGTAGTAGTAAAAGTAAGAGGAGGAGAATGCAGGCGGTAAGGTTTTATGAATTCAAATTTAGAGTTTTGCTTGACAAATAGAGGATATAAATAGATCCTCAAGGGCCGATTTGGCCCCCAAACACTTTTGCATGGTGAAAGATTTGATAGCCATGCAGCATCTTTCAAACAACCTGACTAACAGACCCACTTCGAATCAGGTCAATTAGGGAGCTTCACATCCACTTATTTTTGCCACGTGGAGAAATTCTATAGATTATCCAAATTATATCCAGCAGAAATTAAAGTAGATCTATCGGATTGACAGCATGTTTAAGGAATAACTTACCTATGAGGACTTATTTTATATGCATACATGTCAAACCGAAATTCTTTCTAGAGGGTGGGGAGAGAAAGCAACTAAGCAAGAGACTCCTTTGAAGCTGCAAATTACTTTGCCAC